CTCAAAGTTTGGCCCAGACAAGGGTCTGTTTGCAACAGCTTCTGCTTTTAAAAAAAGTGTTTTTTTAATGAAATGAGGAGAAGTGATTAAATAAAAGTTGATAGTGTTTGGGAAAAAAGTGATTTTGAAAAGTAAAAGTGGATAGTGTTTGGTAAAATAAGTGCTTTTTGTGTAATAAAAAAAGTAAAAACACTTTTGACGCGGAAGCAGAGAAAAATAAAAGTTGTAGTGTTTGGGAAAATAAGTACTTTTTTATAGCCAAAAGGTGAGAAATGCTTTTTTAAAAGCAGTTGCAAACAGACCCTAAGGAAAGACGGAAATGATAGTATAAGGGGTAAATTTGGAAGAAAGAGTCCTATTCGGGAGTTAAAAAGATGTAGGTCTTATTTGAATATCCAGGGTGATTTTTAGTCCTATTCTCAACCATTTTTCTTTTTACTGCCTTTGGTCCAGCCATTTGGAGAAGCTAACAATTGATCACAGCCCTCCAGGGATGGATTTAGGGGGGGGGGGGCGCGGGGGGGGCGACCGCCCCCCTTGGACTTTCAAAATTTTCTACTATATATGTAATATTTTCATAAAACTTTCATAATTTAATTAGATTCGCCCCCCTTATCTTTTAATTTTCAAAATTAATATATAGTGTTACATAATGTAATACTTAATTGAAGATTTAAAAGAAGGAACATCTAAAATAATTACATAACTTAAACAAATAAACAATAGAATAACTCGTTGTTTAAGATTTAGGATACTTATTATATAAGAATTCCTAGTTTTGTAGTGTTTAATTATCTTTATTAGATAACAAGTACTTGATTTTGTAAAATATACTCCGTATATCAAACAATATTAAATATCAGACACACTAATTACACAGTTTTTAGATCACGTGAAATGAATCCAAAATATAAATGTTTATTGACATTAAATTACACAATTCATTTACTTCTTGCTTTCTAAAAATAATTTATTGCATAGATAATAAACTTTAAATTATTATAGCATTACTACAAATATTAAAATACAATATGCACCATATATGTGTGTGTGTGTGTGGTGCATATTATTCTAAAAATAATAATATCACACATACTACTATTGTAATATTAAGAAAACTTCTCATGAGTCATGACTCACGAACACCCTCCTTGGTGGCCGGACAAAAATTACAATTCAATAATAACCGATTCATGAGTTAAACAATGTAGAAGTTATTAAAAATGTCTTGGTTGATGTCTTTGTCATCGTCTAATTTAAACTTAGAATGTACTACTTAATAGCTTTAAATGTCGTTGGGGATGTGTATGTATTAATGTCATTTTTTGAATAAAATTAGCCGCATAGCCCTACAGTAGCGGAAAAAATTCGCTCCGCTACACTAGGGAAAAAATTTCGCCCACTACACTAACCAAATTTTTTTCACCCCCTACACTACCGAAAAATTTCGCCCCCCTTGAATAGAAATCCTGGATCCGTCCCTGCAGCCCTCCCCGCCCAAATCTCCGAACACCACCCTCGACCAACCTTCCAAACTCGAAACTCGCTGCTCCCAGACATTGGTAGACAATCTCCACCGCCGAATAGGTATGTGCATTGCTGTATTTTGTGAATATTGTGTTAGATTTGATCCCTAATATCTTAACCTCAGTCCGATGACAACTAATTTAATTCTTTTTTCGAACGTGGATTCTCAAGAATGAGTCAATTGGAGTTTTAGGCACAATCTATACAACAACGACAACACCCAAGCCTTATTCCCAAAATTTTAGGATCTATACCAGAAAAATATTCACTATAAACCCAAGCTATGTAATACTCCGTATGTTATTTTTATCATATGTTTAATTTTTTTAGTTAGAGATGTAGACGACAATCAGTAAACTATAAGTATTAGGCTTTTAATTTCCAAGTTAATCAGTCATTGCTAACGTTTTTGTTTTGGACAGGTAAGCCTCTTTGAGTATCAAAGAAATTGCTGAACAAAATATCCGATCAACTGTTGGTTTTATGGGTAATACTTAGTGTCCTCTGCTGTAATCATTCAACCTGATCAATTTTCCATACTTACTGTCACCAAGTTTTGGGTGAATTTTTAATGTAATTCGTTTTTTTATTAACCCATAAAACCAACAGTCGATTCGTTTCAGTAGGCCTTTGGATTGGATTTTAGAATTAGTTTATTTTCTGTTTTTTTGGAATGAAACTGACATTTATCATTCCTAAGCTACTTTTATTTCCATTTGCTTTATATTTTCATTGACTTGGTGGCTGAACTTTAATAACATTCTACGATCTTGAATTTTCATTTTGAAAGCATTTTCATTAAATTTTTATTTCAAGTTTTGGAGCCATTTCCTATCCATCTGTGTTTGACCTCACTCGAATACTAACGAAAACCATAATATGATTATTCAAACTGAATTTTTGTGATTAATAAGAAAAACTGCATATATCAAATTAGGGGAAAAGGTCTTAAAGTAATTGTCACTAGCGAACAAATAGGTCACTGTTCGGAGAAATGTAATTGTAACTAACAAATGAATAAGTCACTGTCCGGAGAAGTGTAATTGTCACTAATGTAATTGTAATTAATATAATTAGTATGATTGTAATGTTAGTCACTGTTGTAATTAAAATGACGGATGAGTGAGGTAACTGTAACTGCGGTTCATGCGACTGTAACTAAATAGGTCGGGGTAACTGTAACTGAGTGACTCGGGTGGTCACTGAGACCGACCGTGATCACTGTTCGGGTGGTCAATGGGCTGTAGTCACGGACTAATTTTTAATTATTGGTCACTATCAGGTTTTGGTCATTGGTTTTTGGTCACTATCGGGTTTTGGTCACTATCGGATTTTGGTCATAATCGGGTTTTGGTCACTATTGGGTTTTGGTCACTATCGGGTTTTGGTCATTATCGGGTTTTGGTCACTATTGGGTTTTGGTCACTATCGGGTTTTGGTCATTATTGGGTTTTGGTCACTGTATCGTTACTGTAGCATCATTGAGTGGAAAAAGGGGTATAAAAGTCTCTTAACTTATTTTTAGTCTCATTTTTGGAATTTTTTTAAAAAAGTTCACTTTTCTGTCCAAAGCATTTTTTTAGTAATATTTTTGACAAAACCCCTTTATTAATTAAAATTTAATTAGGTGACTGTTAATAACAATTTTGCGAATTATATTTTTTTTTTACCCTTGCACTTATTCGTTCCAATGTGTATTAAAAAATGCTATTAGGTGGCTGTTAATATTCTTGCACTTATACTCGTAAATGAAAATAAGTGCAAGGGTAACTATAATAACAATGTGTAATAATAATGTCAATATATAACAATGCAATATACAATGTGGTTATACAACAATGTAATATACAATGTCATTATATGACAATGTAATGATATCATTATTTACAAAATTAATGCCATTGTGTGACTGAAATATATTAAAAATAAAAAACTAAAATTGTGACATTGAGATAGTGTAACATTGTCATGTCAATTTAAAAAGTTGACAATGTTAGAAAACTATCAAAATGTCGGAAAATTGTCACAATGTCAAATAATGACAATGAAACTAGCAATGCAATAAAAAAATGACATTTTGATAATGACATTGTCAATGCTAATGTCAATGACTATCGTAACAACGTCTATGCTATAAAAGATGACATTGTTAACAGGTTATTGTTATAAGAGTTACAATATCTTTATTGAAAACACATTATATTAGAATGTCGTTCCATAACAATGTAATTACAATGTCATTATATGACAATGTATTATACAATGTCATTCTATAACAATGTAATATACAATGTCATTATTTGACATTGTCATAATTAAAAGGTAAAAAATATGTCAATGTTACAGTAAAATCACACGGTTAATTGAGTTCATACATAATCAGCACATCTGCTCATGCAATTTAAGTAAGCTGCCCAAAACTCTTCTCAACTAAAATATGCAAACAGGGACAATTTTTAAAATCATGTCCATTGTATTGACATTGACATTGTTAAAGCTTAAATCATGATAATTTCATTAACATGGCAATTATAATAATTAGAATGTCACAATGTTGATGTCATTATAAAAGAGATGGAAATGTATATTTAAATGTAACAATAACCATGACATTCAAATAAAATAAATCAAAAGTGAAAATCTAAATCTAAATCTAAAAGCTAGATCAGCATTAAAAACGTAAATCCGTAACTCACTAAAATGAATCAAGCAAATAACATAAAATTCAGAAAAACCAAAACAACTAGGGGTGGGCAAACGGGTCTTGGAACCGCGGTCCGGTCCGGGTAATGGCGGCCCGGGTCCAAAACAGGCTGGTTCCATTTTTTGTTTCCATAAAACGGTCCGGGTAGGGTCGGGTAATTTTTTTTAAGGAACCGGACCGGTTCCAAAATTAAAAAATAACGGATACCCGGCCCGGCCCGTTATATATATTGTATATTAATTTATTAATAGTTTTGTGATAATCGGTTTTGAAATAGTTTTGTTTCCTGTGCTAGAAGTAGGATTTTAAATTGAGTTGCAGTAACATCCTTTTGTTTTCAAATTATTGATTAAATGTTTCATAAATATCTTATTACGTAGTACTTTTTATTGTTATTGAATTATTCCTTTCTATGGAATTTAATTATTTGTTAAAGATGATTTTGTTATATATTTTTTATTATATTGTTATTAAAATATTTAAATTGTGTTTACCACCCACCAGGTATGTGTCAACTTTGGCTAATACTGAAAACTTAATTATTGATTATTGATTTTTGGAACTTCGTGAGTTTTTACTAATTTCAAGACATGAGAATAGCCGTAAAACTCGGACCGGACCGACCTATTTCAAACGGGCCGGGTAATTTCTGGTTCATATTTTGAAAATTGTAATACCCGGACCGGACCGAACCGTACAATGGAACCGACGGTTCCATTTTATTTTGCATTACCCGACCCGGCCCGTGCCCAGCACTAGTTACAACTTCGTATACTCAAAAAAATGAAAGAAGTGTGTACGCATATGTTTACATCAGGCGGAAACTCAGATCTATTGCTACCAGATCGGCAAAAAAAGTAGCAACCATATGAAAAAGCCATCAGATCGGCGGAAGAAAAGTGGAGAAGAGAAGAAAAGAAGACATTCTGCCACCATCCACCGACCCTGATGCGGCCTGCCGCCGTCCAACGTTGTCCCGCCATCCAACGTTGTGCTGCCACTTCCACATCGTCGTGTGTTACATCTTCTCCGTTGTGTCTGATTTCTAGTTGCACCACATGCTCCTCTTCATCACGATGAAAGGGAAGTATTGTTGGGAACTGCGAATTGTAAAATTAATTAAAATTTAAGACTCGTCGATCCTTCTCCTCCCGTTCTCTGCTCGCTGTGTGGAACTGTGGCTCTGTCAGCTGTCTCAGATACGCAGGCGCAACGTTCCAGGCTTGTAGAGTAGCAGTCCACAGTCCAACCCTCAACGGCTACACCGTCTCCATACCTCCAACCTTCCACGGCTCCATCCCTGGTTAGTGTTCACCTCTTCATTCCGAAATTAGAACCATATTTTGTAAACCTCATCTGAAATTGGCAGAGGCATTTCCCAAATCCCAATTCTCACTGCTGCCTTATGGCTAATTTTCCTTACTATTATGGTATTGTACCTTAAGTGTGCTTGAATGTTTCAATTCTCAACTGTAGGGTAATATGCAGTAGGATTTTAATGAATACCATTGGCAGTAGGATAACATACACTAGGAGGCTGTAGGCTTTTTTACTTAAATTGGTTGTTGGTGTGATAATATCCCGTTTTGCTGAATGAATTTGTGCTAATAGGAATGATTTGTTGAGGAAAATTCTACCCCATTAATGAATTTTTTAATGAATACGAGTACTATTTATTTAAACAGGTATGGAATATCGAAATCAAACTGAGCTAATATTTTGTAGCAGTCATTGGCAAGAAAAGAATAAAAAGTGTTTTTTGTGTTGTTTTGCACTTTGTTGTCTTCATGGGCTGGCTAAGATTTATGAACTCATAAATGGTAAGAACAAAGCATACACTCCTTTTCTTCATCCTTTCTGCACTTCTTGTGATGGACCGACTTAGAACACAGTTATGACAGGGAAAAAGGCATTCCTTCCCTTTAGTTCACTTTTTGGGCTACGATTATAAAATGCATAAGGGTAAAGGGTGTAAGAGAAATAACATAGTTCCCCCCACTTTGAATTCTTTTTCTGTGTTCTTGGGTTAAGTATAGCACAATGACGACAAGAAGAGAACAACATGCACTTTCCGCTCAATTACGTTTTACCTTCTTGGGCTAACCATGATCATTAACACATAAATGGTTAGGAGAAAAAATGCACTTTTCTTCCCTTCAATCTTTCTCTCTTTTTTTTGGGCTAATTAATAGCACAATAATGGCAAGCAAAAAGCACGGGGTACATTTTTTGTATGTTCAATTCTTTTTATTGTCTTCTTGGGCTAACTCTGATTTTTGTACACATAAACTGTAAGAAGAAAAACATGCACTTCTTTTTCATTAATCCTTTTCTTTCCTTCCAGGGCTATGATTTTAAACATCGTAATGGCAGCAAATGAAAAGGCAGTTTTTTTCCTTCAATTTTTCCCCTGATGGGCTAAGGTTTTAAAACACTGTAATGGTAACAAGAAGAATATTGCAGTTTTTTCTCCTCTATTTTTTTTCTCTTCTTGCATCAAGTACGATTTTAACAGGATTATATAAGCGTGTGTGTGCGCGTGCATACGCACATGTATACTTATAAAACCAACGCGTTACATTAATATAATCATGTGCCATTTTTTGTATTGTTATTGTTTTTCACTTTTAATATTTTCTTTTTATGGATAATATTTTAAAACACATTGATGGTGACGAGAAAAATTGCATCCCCCCTCCTTTATTCTGTTATAGGGTTATAAGCTTTTTTAACACGGTTATGGAAAGAAGAAAAGAAACGCAAGTTCTTACATTTAATTATTTTCTTCTTGTGCTAATATTCTAAAACATAGCAAGGACAAGAAGTGAAAATACCAATAACCAATAGTCGAAGCTAAAACCAGGTAGCATATGGTTTGATGAGATCAGTCTTATTTTTCCTTTCCTTAAAATACTTTAAGGAAAAAACCTTGGTAAGTTTTAGCTTTCAAGGGAAAGTTATTCTTTACCCTTGCACTTATTTTCATTTACGAGTATAAAAAATGCTAGATGTTAGTAAATGTTTATTATCCTTTTCCTTTTAAATCAGAGATGAAGAAATAGATCTATACATCCCTGATTGTCCTTCAACTTAGTCATGAGGATAGTTGGATTAACGGGAGGAATTGCTTCTGGGAAGAGCACCGTCTCCAATCTTTTCAAGTCCCACGGTATTCCTGTAGTTGATGCCGACATCGTTGCCCGTGTAAGTACCATTCCATCCCCTTTTAAGGTTCCCGACGTCCCGTACTCCAAATTCAGCTTCATAGTAAACCTATTCTCTATTAAATATGAATTAGTGGCGTAGTAAAGTCCTTAATAGTAAACCTATTCTCTATGTTTTCGCGGAATTGATGTTACGACTTACGACTACTCTTTGTGATTGTGCAGAATGTCTTGAAAAAAGGCACTGGCGGATGTAAAAGAGTTGTGGCTATGTTTGGGGAGGACATCTTACAGGCCAATGGCGAGGTGGATCGTGCCAAGCTAGGTCAAATTGTTTTTTCTGATCCCACAAAGCGTCAGCTTCTTAATAGGTGTGTGTTGAAAAAGTAGGATGAGTCTAATAAAAGTAAAATGTGAAATGATAAAATGTGTTTAAGCCTAGTATGAGACAGAAATAAGTTTTTTTTGTAATTCATATCTAAGGTTTTATTATACTCTCAAAATTACTTTGCTTAGCAGGCCATCAGTTTGTGTCTCAGAATTGAGCTAAAATGAATATAGATTTTTTAAGTGAATGTGTTGGTCTTCTGTTTTAATATCTCTGCATTTGCAGCATGATGTGTAAACCTTGCATTTTTTTTTCATATGAGTTCTCACTGATGCTTTGTAGGCTGTTAGCACCTTATATTTCATATGGTATCTTTATGGAAGTCTTGAAGTTGTGGATCAAGGGTTGCAAGACAATTGTTCTCGATGTCCCCCTTTTATTTGAAGCTAAGATGGATAAATGGACTAAGCCTATAGTTGTCGTTTGGGTTGATCCTGAGACACAACTTCAGCGGCTCATGACAAGGGACCGGTCAACAGAGGAAGAAGCCAAAAGCAGGATAAATTCTCAGATGTCTCTGGATGTAAAGAGGGAAAAGGCAGATATTATCATTGACAACAGAGGGACACTAGGGGCTCTAAATGAGCAGTTTGGATTGGTGCTAATCCAAATCACAAAACCACTGACTTGGTCCGAATATGCGCTTTCTAGGCAAGGAGCTATTCTTGGACTGCTTTCTATTTTTGTTGGCATTGTAATAGCCAAGAACAGTTAATGGATGTAATTAGTTTGTTTAGACTTTACATCAGATTTCATGCTTGTAGCATTTTATGAAAAAGTCGTTCCTTTTTCATGCTGTTGATTGTGTTCTCGTGCCTTTGCTCCGAGAAAGTCTAGAAGAGCTAACAGACATCCTATTGCTTGTAGTTTTGATGATAATGAACTCTCGTTGCATTAAGTTTTTTTTTTATGTTGATGTTCATGTCAAAAATAGTGGCTGAAAAACTGAGATCTTCACGAATTAATGAAGCCGTTACACATCAAACTGTCCGAGCTCACATAAGAGCTGACTCGGGCAGGCCAGACAGTTCGATATAGTGTCCCACATAAATAGCAAACACATTCTGGAACCTGCTGGGTATTTGGCCGGAGACAGGACTTGTCCAAACTGGTTCAGATTCCTCCAAATTAGTCCTGGACTCGGGCCGGGCGGCCCGGCCCGGAACCGGCCCGGCCCGGAACCGGCCCGGCCCGGTTACTATTTGGCCCGGCCCGGCCCGGGGCCCGGTGGGTCCCTCGGTTCGGTTCGGCCCGGCCCGGCTGCTGGGCGGTTCGGGCCCGGGCCCAGGTTTTGGTGAACCGGCCCGGCCGGTTCGGGCCCGGTCCGGGCCGGATTTTAATTTTTTTTTTTTTTGAATTTTTTTTAAGTTTTAGGTTGGATTAGGTATTTTGGGCCATTTGAGGTGGTTTGGGATGGTTTGGGGTTGAGGGGGAGGGGGAGGGGATTAAATAGAAGAACAAAAAAAAAAAAAAAAAAAATTATTGGGCCGGTTCGGCCCGACCCGGCCCGGTTTGGCCCGGAACCGGGACCGGAACCGGCCACCGGCGGTTCGGGCTCGGGCCTCCCTTTCCTGGCCCGAGGCCCGGCCGGGCCCAGGCCCGAACCGGGCCCGAACCGGCCCGAGTCCAGGACTACTCCAAATAGGACTGGTTAGGATTTTTCTTTTTGTAAAAAACTAAAAAGAGCAGTTCAATAAACTGTCTGGAATCAAACCAATAACTGAAAGTATACTTGATTAGAGTTGTGATTCCACCTATCCCACGAACCGAAACTGGACCGGATCAAAACCTACATCCGAACAGTGAGCAAACAGTGTACCATTGATACACAAACATGAAACAAAACAATGGCAATCAAAAAACAACGAGTTCATTTGGTAATCCCATTTTCTCCCTTATGAGCCTTATTAGCCAGTTTTTTTATCATATCACTAAAATTTTAATTTGACATGAAACTACTTTTATTTGTTCTATAGATAAAATATATTTTAAAAATAACTTTTTCATAATTCTTCCAATCCAGCCTTATCAATCAGAATATCTACAATATCAATAGATTCAACCAATTTTAGTATTATCAAACAAGTTTTATGTCATGCCAATATATTTATTATCTGTAACAGTAGAATGACAGCACCCAGAAGACACAATAAAAACAAACCAAATTTGGGTGGTGTATATATACTGATACACATATGCCAGCTGCCATCGACCTGATGCTAATGATTTTGCATGAGTTGTGCAAGCTAATCTTATTCACCAGCTCACCTGTAATTCAGTTTCACAAGCGTCTGGAAACCATAGATAGTAAAATTGCACGCAGGAAAAAAAAATGAACTTCATGAATTTCATCAGGAGCAACGAATTGTGAGACTCATGACACAACAATTGATACTAATAATAATAACTCAGCAGGAGCAGAAGAGTAGCACTCCATTAAATTATTCAGCGAGACAAAAACAGTAGAAAAATGAAAAACTAAACAAGTACTGCCAGCACCCACCCACCACTGGAATGAGAGGGATATCTACTAGTAGAATGAGTATTTTTCAGCAACGCCTGGGTAAAGCTTCCTGTAAATGGCTAGTGCAACCGGAAGGATAGCGGTGAGGGCTATAGAAAGATTATCCGAGCTGCTCGTCCTAACTGATACCTGCCCACTCATTTTGTTGTTTATTCCAGCCCGAACTGCCACCTTTGAGTTTCGGCCAGCAGAAAACTGGGCCAAAGCATTGAGCCCTAGAGCCAAATCTCCTCTCCATTTGATCACAGACATACTCAGCGTGGACTGAACCTGCCCAATCGGGTAATCCGCTTCCCTTCTCTTCACTTCAAAGTTGGCCCCATAAGCAGTCTCACTCTTTGATCTGACTGTGCCCGTACTGCCGACAAGAACATACCGTTTGCCCAAAGTGACCTGGTCTTCAACCTTGATCCCTGTCACTACATTCTCACCAATGAATGTAACTGACACCCCAGCAGCTGTCTTGTTCTTTTTCAGATTCTTGAACTTCGTTTCACCACGGACAACATAAGCAAGCTGCTTCCCAATGTTTTGGATGTCAAAACCTGCCATGCTGGACCCGTTCTCTCCATGCTTGGCAGAAACGGATGAGTCCAAACTTACACTGAAATCTTTCTTATCTTTTGAGATCTGGAAGGTTATTGCTGCAGGGAAACGGTCAGTGATGGCTTGACTGTGTTCAATGTTGACACCTTCATAGCCACAATCATGATCCCACCCATGTGTGTCAAGAACCGGCCTGGCTAGAAATTGTGATGTCGGTTCCAAGAACCGGTACCTGTATGTAGGGTTATCACTGTCAAAGGATGGGGGAAGGACCATGTCAGGCAAAGGGACAGCCACTGGGGCAGCTGCCCCAGAATCAAAATCATCATCCGGAGGAGCTTCAGCACCCTTCCCTTTCTTCTTCATCTCTCTCATTCTCCTCAACTCTTCTCTCCACTGCTTCTTCTGGAGGAGCTTTACTCGATAGTCATATTCCTCAAAGTATGCCCTTTTCTGTTCTTTACTCAGTTTAGCAATTTGGGCTCTCCTGAGTGGCTTAAAGGGTGGAAGCTGGTCATACTCTTCTTCTCCTCCCCCTTCTTGGTCAGAATCAGACAAATCATCCAAGTCAATATCAGAGTCAACGTTATCGCCGCCCAGTTCGCTAGTCAACTTTGGGTGGGGACGGGACTGCAACATTGAAGACAACATGTATGGAAGAGGAGGTGACCGGACCCGGAACCCAAACAGTTTACGGTGGTCAAACGGGTCTTGTGGCTTAGAGAGAGAACTGGCTTCGGACAATATCTTCATTGAATAGCATAAGAGAAGTAACTGCGGCTTCCAGATCTGACCATTTGGCAGTATCCTCTGTCCATCCCTGTTCCTTCTACAAGCAGGATGGTTTTCAACGAGAGAAACAGGGTTCATCATGCTCGGACTCATCATGTGTAGGTCCCCCACAGCATGCCCAATGGACTGCTGAACAACACGTGACCTTTGAGTAACAAAAACCTCATAACTCAGGGGAGAGCCAGAAGGCCCATCTGGAGGAGCAGAAGCTGCGTGTGTCAGCGTGACAATGGTGCTTCGCCAGATGGCAGAACCCAGGGAGGCTGTGATTGTCCTGAGAAGCGGGAGATCATTAAGATCCCGGGTCTGGGAATCCAAACGGTCCACATAGAGAACAATATCCACCGGATTCTTCTTCGTCAACTTCTTAACATTTGACAGAACTTTGTTGTTAAAAGCCTGCTCCATGGCGGCTGACTTGAGACCGGGCGTATCGAACACTCGAACCTTGACTCCGTCCATAATAACACAGATTTCTCTCACATCAGTGGTCATTGGTGAAAAGGCATCAATTGGTGTCTTCTCTTCTCCGAGAATAGAATTTATAGTGGCGCTCTTACCCACTCCAGACTTTCCAAGAACTAGTATGTTCACAGAGAAGTCCAATCCATCCTCATCTTTCATCTCTGTTTCAAGCTGAAGGGCGGTTGACTTGGCTGTATCAATGCTGAAGAGTTTGCTATTCTGCTTTCCTGCAATGAGTGACAGCCTATACAGAACCTGTGTAGCTATGGATTCATCCGGAGAGAAACCCAAACGCTTGACGAGTCTCAAGAACTTCACTCTAATTTCCTGCAGTTTCTCAAGCTTCTTTTTTTCTTCTTCGCTCAGGTTTTCCTCAGCATCTGAAGTATTTGAAAGTGTTGGGGTGAAGAGAAGGGAACGATTATTAGGTTGGGTGGAAGCGGTGGGTCCCAGAGAACGGAGTGATGACCCCAAACCAGCGGGACGCTCTACTGAGAAGAGTCTAGAACCATCCTGAGAGGTCATGGTGATATTCCCGCCGCCGTCACGGTCAGCACCACCAGTTGCAGCTTTCAGTAGAGCAGCCAGAGCAGAAGAATGGAGCATTTGCTTCCTGTCTCCTCCTTCCTCATCGGTGTCTACCTCCTCCTCCTCCCCCTCCTCATCAGAGTCTGTCATGACTTGACCATCAATTCTAGGCTCTAGAGAAGAAGCCTCAACACGGCCAGACTCCCTTTCCAACTCCTCAATGAACTGCCTGGCTGCTTCAGAGCTTCCGAATATCATACCATCTGACTCCTGATCTGACACTGAGCCATCTGCTAGTTCAGCATCTCCACTTATCTCATTATTTTCTTCACATTCTGGTATTTCTAGTGTATTGAGTTTGGATGAATATTTATTAGTTGAACCTTCCATGTCATTACTGTGTACAGTATCTGATGATGCATTTTGAGTGGTTGCTATGTCTGAAAGCTTCTCTGTTTCCATATGATTACACTCCTTTACTTTTTCCATGACATCTTCAGGCACATCAAGACTGATAATATCAGATTTAGTAACACTTACTGGCATATTGCCTGCGAATTCCATAAGCGGTTTCGCTTCAGCTATGTTAATGGATGCTGCACTCTCGCCATTGTATGGGACCCACTCCTGATGTAGAGAATTTTCTCTTTCTTCCACAGTGAGAGCGAGCCCTTCACTTGAAGAATCAATTGATTTTATTTTATCAGTTTCATTCATTGATGCCACATCCTCCTCCCCCTCCTGCTTTTTCACATCTTTTATTTCTTCCACAACAATAGCTGTCCCACCAACTGCCTCCACCTCCTCTACCTTCTCTTGACCCACCCCTTCACTCATAAGATTAACAAATTCATCTGTACTGATATTATTATCCCCACAACTAACCCCAGATCCTTCCATGTCATCAGGTTGAACCTCGCTAGCATATCCATTCAACCCGTTAATTTCAGTAACATGCATAGCTGAATCTGGGAGACTGTTATCGATACTAGATACATTCCCTTCTAAGCCATCAGGTTTGACCTCACTTGCATATCCAGTCAACCCGTTAATTTCAGTGACGTGCATAGCTGAATTTGGGAACCCATTATCAATGATAGATCCAGATTCACCAGATTCTTCTTCCTTTTCCTCAAACAACAAAGCCCCATCTCTGACAATCACCTTCTCACCCTCCAAGTCCTCAACTTTATTCATATAATTGACATCATCGTTCAAAGAAACCTCCTGATCGGGAATGATTTTCCCAGGAGGGGCCTCTAGAACAGTCTCATCAGTGAGAGCTCCAGACATGTCAGCCTCCACCATATCCCGATCATCCACCTCCACCTCGTGGGTCTCCCATCTCCCTTCACTTACAGGATTTACAAATTCGTTCAGATTTTCATCTGTAGAAACCTTACCTCCATCAATAGTCAACGAGCCCTCTAAGCCACCACTAGGTTGAACCTCAGTAACACTTCCATTGTCAAGGCTATCATCAGAGCTATCCGGTTCTTCTCTATCTCTATGCTCTTTCTCCAAAAAAGCCTCATCCTTG